CGTTGAGGTGTAAATCAGGTGATTTGCGGGTAGGATATTTACCAGGGTCAAGTGACAAAAATCCCATGTAACACCGGGTGAGCTCCTTTAGAGTTTGTATTTATAAAAGCTATAAAGAGAAATTCTTTGTAATTTGTCGAGTAGTCTGAATACCCAAATAAGGAGGACAGGATTACCAAATTATTAAAAAAAAAAAAAATTATAATTTTGTTAAAACATTCCAGATTCACTTAAATTCCGTTTTCATTTACAACATATATAAAGGTAATCGAAATTAGAACAATTAAAAGAACAAAAAAATTTTCAAAAACAGCCAATAAATTTTTTTTAAACACTTTTGATAAATTAATATAAATTAATACCAAATATGCAAACACAAAGAGTTGAACAATATAAATATTCAAATATTCAATTTAGTGAAAAAATTTGTATACTCGAATATTCAGTGAATAATAGAAAATGCTAACCATCAGATCAGATATCTAACCTAATATGTATGTTTTATTATAGTTCAACAATACAAAGTTCAGTATCATACTTCTAATTGCAATAACTTTAATCTGAATCGTTTTCTTCTTGATTTTCATCATCTGCGTCCTTATTAAAATTTTCTTTTGGATTTACAATAGCACATTCAGGTATCTCACCTTCATGATTCAAATATCCGTAGTCACGTTCTGTATGATAATCGATGGAATTGAGCCAATTCTGAAAACTGTAATTTGTGTAGAATATGCAAAAAGAACACTCTTTTTAGCAAACCTTCGGAAGAATCATGCATAACGAAAACATTTTCTAAACAAAATAACTACGTGTTTTCTGAAAATTCCTCGTCATAAATTTTGGAATAAATAAATTTTTCCTTAAATGCATCGATTTTATCCTGCTCGAAAAAGACGAACATTAATCAGATTGAGCACAGTCGTTTATAAGCAACTATTGGTTATATTAACATTATTTTGTACCTTGTAAATATCAAATTCAATCAACTCTTTGTCATTATCGACGGCTTTCTTATTGTACGATCTGAATACAGGCTAAATTTAAAAATCAAATATCAATAAGGATTATATCGATGATCGCGTTTAGACAACTCTGAAAAATCAGTGTTACCTGATCTAGTAATAACCCTAGAGCTGGAGCTTTGGGAATATTGATCTTAGTATTCCCAAAAGTTTTATGGATAAGCGAAAGTGGTGTTTCTGTTCTTATCATCATGACTATTAAGGCTAATAAAATAATGCAAATATAAATGTATAATAATTGTATTCTTTAATAATACACTATTTAATAATACCTACCAACCATTTTGCGAATTTGATGTAGCATAAAGGACTGTCCATGAACTTTAAGGCTCAGCCACTCACTACTGTCTTCAGTCACATTTTGATCACCAGTTTTGGAGTCGCGAACATGTACTATTTTAGGGTCGCTAACCTAAAAAAAAATGTTTTTAACTCTAATGAATGTTGAACAAGTGTTATATAATTTAAAGTTACGCACTTCGAAGCTCATGATAAATCGATTACAGCTTTTTTCCATTGGGCTGCGACCCAACGTGAAATTATGATAATTATGCGTACCCTCATACGCTTTAAATCCTTGCCTCACCAAATTTAGTGTTTTAGAAGGAATACGATACTTCCGTTTTTCAATCATTTCTTCGGCCGTGGCAAGAGGTGCTTCGATGAATTGTGTCTGATCATTTTGATCAGTTAATAATTGTCCGATTGAACTTACTATTTGATCTCTCTCTCGAGGAATGAAAACATAGGTTGGAAGGAGATATTCATAGATGCGAGAATCGCACAATGTCTTTGCATGAAAAGAACGAATGGTCTTAACAAATCCTATCAAACGAAAATTTTCATATAAAAGTAATGTACAATAATAATAATAATAATAATAATAATAAATTACATATAAATTATTACCCCATACTCGAATTTGATCAGTAAGGTTTTCATTAATCTTTTCGACTAAATTAGGAATATCTATAATCATGTAAAGAAACAAAATACTGGGATAAGTTCTATGGATATGTAAAATAAGCCAAATTATTATAATTGAAAAAAATTTCATATCTTTAACGATATCAAATTTCCAGCCGCGTGTACTCCCTTGTCAGTTCTCGCAGCACGCATCAAGCTTACCTATCATTCGTAGTTTAAAGTTTAACGATGATAGGTGTTCTATTAACGAAAAAACCATTTAATTGATTGTTTAGGAGCTCGTACCTTCTTTGGATCATCAGAATTATCTTTGGATATCGCACCAGCAGCTACAAAAGCTTTAAAGAGATCTTCTTCGATAGTTTTTGCATTACGATTGCTGCATTGATTTCATCATTTAGATAAAGTAAATAATAGAATGAATTGGAATGTCTTCTACATACATTTGCATTCCTTGATAACCAGTTCCACAAAAACCAACCAATACAGCTACTTTTCTCTTTGGCTTTCTTGGTTCTTTCTCTATGGATATATTACCAGTAACATCGCCACTGGTTTTGCCGTTATTTTCTTCGTTACTTCTATATGAGCTCCCGTCTTCGCCGCGATTACCTTTTCTATTTTTAAAGGTTCTGCTAAGGTGCTCCCTTCTATCTCTTGCCGTTGTGTACCGTTTTCTTTTTAAAGGAGGAACTCCTCCTTCAGACGATACAGTGTTCGTCTGTGTTGCAGACTGAATACTGGAGTCACACTGGACGTCCATATTTTCCCCGTTGTCCATGTTTTTCCAGTGTTCGAATGGGAAATCCCGCGGTTTTTTCACTGGAACAATATTATATCGTTCACGTGACTTTTGTGTCCCAATCAATCTTCCCCAGTATCGCCGGCAAAATTCCAACCACACGTGATATGCGTGGCGCATCAATAAAATTTTTTGTTAGTTTTAGTTTTAGGATTTGAAAATATACTTTTGTTAGTGTTAGTTCGTATTTATTAATACAGTCTCGGATATTACGGTCGCTAAAGCGGTGTTAATTAAAGCCCCTAGCTGTCCCACAAAATTTTTTCCACCCCTTGTAATAACGACCAATCGAATTTCAGGATCAGGTGTAA